TGCATTAACTAAATATTCGCATATCGTAAATGTGAGTCAGCGAAAATGAATTTGGAATCTGTTGGAGCAATAAAAGATGGGTTTATCTCACTCAACTCTCTTTGCATTAACTAAATATTCCCTTATCGTAAATGTAGGTCTAAGAAGTAAACATTTACGGAACTTTGATCTTATTTATTGAAAATACTTTTTAGATATCGTGGTGACGTCAAAGTTGGTTCATTTTTTTTTTCTTCTTTTATTGTAATTCTACAAAATTGTAATTATTGTGCAATCAAAATTATTAACCGTTATTTTATAAATTTACTATACGTCAAAGGGAAACTCGGGATGCCTTTCAACTCTGAAAAAAAAAAAAAAATATTGAAAATATTATAAAAAACTTTTGATTTGTTTTTGATTACAACAAAATATATTAATTACCCGGGGAAAAATTGGAAATCGCATATGCGTATGTTGGCATCCAAGGATTTCAGCTTTTTGATCTCTTCTGCTGTTAAAGCGAAATCAAAAACATTGAAATTTTGACGCAAACGCTCACGATTTGTGCTTTTTGGTATTGTGGCCAAGCCGCAATCGAGTATCCAACGTATTAAGACCTGAGCTGGCGTTTTGCCATAATTCTTAGCAATCTCCTTAACTAACGGTACATCCAACAAATCGGGTAAATCACGTTCAACACCAACCATTTTATTTAAGCTAGCAACGCCTCGAGAACCAAGCGGAGCATATGCAGTAACAGTGACGCCTTCAGTTTCACAAAATTTAATCAAATTCGGTTGTTGTAAATAGATGTGATGCTCAATCTGCAGGTTAGCGGGTCTAATGGTACAGTTGTTTAAAATTCTACGGATTTGCTCTTGATTGAAATTTGATAAACCGATAGATTTAGTTAAACCTAAAGCTACCAAATGCTCCATTTTCTGGAAAGGACACAATTGAAAATATTGAAAGCACTATTACGACAGCCGATCCAATAGAAAGAAGAGAAGGAAGAAAGGAAGGCTGATACTCATTTAAATCAAAACATTTTATTAATTTAAGTTTTCAAAACTAAGGAATACCGGGCGAGCCGCTTCAGGTGCGAGAAACTTTTCAAATTTTTTTGAATTCGTCGATGCGTTCTTCAAAACAAACTGGCCGGATTGCGTTCTATTAAGGATGCTATTAACTCTTGGGTAGAGAAACAGGATTCGCAGATGTACGTTTTTCAAGTTGTGACAGTCTGGCGTCGGTCAATGCGAGTTTTGTAACTCTTCGACTTTTTTGAAGAAAATTTGTTTTCATGTGTAGTCAGATACCTCGAACAGATTCATTAGAGATGTGAGGGACGTGAGCTTTGTAAGCCATCCTTTTGAGGTTCATCAACACAATTTCACGGATTTGAAATCGTGGGGGACAAAATTCATCGATATTTTCCTTAGCGGATAGCGGTATTTCCGCTTGGATTTGGATCGTTTTTTCCCATTATAAATATCACTCTTCCCAGCACTTTCCAACACTTTCCAACTTCCAAAATTGAAAGTGTTAGCAACACAGAATTTTAGAAAATTTTCTTCTGTGAATTCTGGGATCCGCATGAGCGGCCTAGTAGGCAAGAATCGGGACTACCAACGACTCCAAATTTTAAGTGGGGTCGCGCTTAGTTTGGTGGTGACTATAGTGAGTGGTCAGTCAGTAAAGACATACCACGTACTGATTGGACAGACATCTCGCTCTCTCTTTCCGCGCGCCTGGCTGTCACCGAATAGGTGACTTAAAAACTACTAACAACAAACCATCGCAGGTCGTTCTGGAAATTTGTATCATGCTGATTTAAAAGCTAATTTGTTGGTTGACAAAGTCAACTAAGTAATTAGATGATATATGATATTTTGTAAGGGTGGTATGTCAAATGTGCCAAAAGCGTATAATTTAACGAAGTAATTAAATAGAATTAGGAGCGACTGAGTCCAGTAAAATCATGAGAACGATTTGCGAGCTTTGGCAAAAGGACAATATGTCATACAAATGTCATATATACAGCCTTCAAATGTCCGAATTAACCACGGAGCGAGAGGTTTCAAATAACTGAAATTAAAGAGTTACTTGGAAGTCAAACTAAAATTGAATGTTTGGGAACAAACTTCAATTAAATGGTGAGCGTAGAAGTTCCCCCTTTCGCCCCTATAACATTTAACCATTTTCCGCGAAACGTAATTTTCATGCTTGGTTAAAACCAGAATTACTGAAAGATTTTAGAACATACCTTCCAAATGGCAATATGGTCGGTAGAAGAGTCAATTTCTAGCAGCCCGTTGGCGTCACGCTTGAAGTCATCGTTCTCCATGAAAACACCGAATGGTACATGTATCAAATACAAATCCACATAATCCAATTGCAAATCGGCCAGAGAGTTTTTTATAGTCGGTTCCACGTAAGCCGGATTGTTGGCTTAAAAAAATGCATAAAGTGAAAATTGTTGTAAGCAAACATTTCGCACTTATTTTATTAATTCCTACCTGGCGGTGGCAACTTGGTGGTGATAAACAATTCTTCTCGCTTTATTTTACCAGAAGCGAGCCATTTCTTTAATACTCGACCTATGGCTTTTTCGTTCCGATAAACTGGTGCGGTGTCTATGTGTCGATAGCCAATCTCCAAAGCAAGATCCAAAGCGAATTCAATTTCGTCATCGGGTGCCTATATTTCACAATCAACAAAGAAGTGATTGGTGAGTAAAAGATTCTTTTAATTTTCAAAGAAATCCATTGCAGCCCGCACAAACAATTTTGGCTATTTTTAAGCGCCTTCCAAAGATGGACAAATGGTTCCGATCAAGCTATTGCCACAAACGCTAAATTACTTTCTATTGCAGCTCTTCAGGTGCAAAGCATCATGTACTCTATTTGCAGAATATCTTATTGAATTAGTAATACTGGCCTGGGAAAGGTCCGATACTTGTCTACAGTGAGATATAACTACGCGAAGTCTAATGACACATGGAGTGAAGCGTCGATATTATGCGACCATGGCTGCAGTTTTCCATGGGTGTTACTATTCGTAAAGTAATGCATCGTTAGTACAATATGATGCAGGCATCATACGGCTTTTGATCAAGGCTTGTCTTCGCTAACCGGTTTGCCTTACTTTGGGTAAAGCAGCGGGTTGAAATGAATCGCATCTATCAGGACGCTTTCAGAAAGGAATAATGCCAAACGTCGGGTTGGCATAAAAAGACCCGGAATCTACCTCAGCAGCCTCAAACAGTCTTTATCTCTCTTGACTCTTAACATAGATTTTCCAACGACTGAGAATAGTCATTAACATAACGAACGCTCTCCTAATGTATTTTCAAACCTAGCTACTATTTCCCTAGTCTGCCAACCTCCATAGCTGTACAACCGTAAGGAAAATTAGTGCGACTTCCCGATAGATTTTTTCGGCCTCTCTAAGAGATGATTCCATCGCCGTGACTTAGCATGGAACAGAGGGATATTATAGATTATTTCAGACTACTACAGATTATTCAGACTACTGCTGAATAAGAGATATATACAATAGAGATCAGCGTAAATGAGATGAAGCTAAACGTTCGGTCGGGTGCAGCAGAGCAAAACCAGCTTCGGGTTTCATATAAGCCATATGCAGCTTTCGCTATAAACAATGGAAATATCAATAATTAAATGAAAACAAGTAAACATTCGTTCAAACTTAATACATCTTTCGGACATATGTCAATTTGGTAGTAATGAAAACTTTTTATACTTTATATGTTCATATTAATAAAAAATGGTATTTTATTAAAAAAAAATATTAATTTCTGAGAGTCTTGATTATGCAAACAAATGTTTTAGATGTGCGTACTTATGTTCAGCCAACTGGAAACAAAGTGAGATTAAGTGTTAGCAGAACTTTTCTATATAAATAGATTTTTGCATTATTGCACTCATTCACGGAAGAGATAAGCATGTAGCTTCTCAGGTATACTAAATGATAATTAAGGTCTTCATGAGATCATAACATACTTGTAACAGCAGGGACATATGTATCGCTGACTTTAGTAGACCCATCTGTTCTTGTTATGTCCGTCTGTTTTAAGTACATTTACTTCTATTTTTCTCGCCTTTCATCTATCGGTTTTGATAAGGGTGGCCAGTTGTAAATTGATCTACAACACCATCATCCATGCTATACCTGCGTCGGCAAGATGCTGCAGCTTTTTTAAATGCAGTTCCACTTTTGGCTGCAACCAAAAGTTATTTATGTTAATTGTTTGATAAAATGCCTTGCTTTCTATGATTGACCCATATCATCGCAGTGAAAGAACTAAGAAACTTGTTTTCTGCTTGGCGAGATGCGAAACATTCATTATTGGGGCAACATCAGTCGAAAATTTAAATTTATTTGTTTAATACACAAAATAGTCTTTCATATATTTATCGGACGGTGAAAGTAAAGCGCATCCGCTTTGTCTTACGTTTAAGATGGTAAAAGAAACATAACTGGTTTCATTCAGATTAATTGCGTTTAAATTCGGTTTGTTTTAAAATTATGATAAATTCTTTATACATACATTTGTTTACATATTTGTTTTGTTTTGTTTCCCCATTTATAAAAATAAATTGCAACTAAATTCACTTACTTGCCAGGTGCCAATACCTAAAGTTGGCATTCGCAAACCATTATTAAATATTAAAAACATATCGTTAGCCATTATTTTGTTTACGCCTTAGGGGAAATAATAAAAGAATTGAAAACTTTTTTTTTATTTTTATTTTTATTTTTTGTCTTGATTTTCTTTCACTTATGTTCTCTTAAGTCAAGAGCACAATTTTAACTGAATAATTTTAGTTGGGACGAATACCTTTTATTGCTATACCTCTGCTGCCCTCTCTCTGCTGGCCGCTAATATTAAACGTTGACAATTAAGCGTTTTTTTATTTTGGTCGTGTTAAAGAAATTAAAAAAAGAAAAAACTCAAGTCACTGCGATTGAAATTATTTAGGTAATCAATAAAAAAAAAAATCCCAAAGCACAGTACTTCTCCTTTAACAGGGAGCTTATATCAACCTTTGCAATGCAAAATATTTACATATATTTCCTGCTTTACACCTTGCTCTTTTTATACGTTCTCGGTTTTACACAGTTTTCGAAACACAAATTTTCAAAAATGTAAATAAAAACTGGTTTTTCACCTCACTTGTGGTACAGGTTATATTGCCTTTGTCCGCTTGTACGTAACACTCGGAAGGGCTTAAGATAGATCTACCGTTTATTATACCGATTGTTGTTGTTTCTCCGTCTCTTCTCCTTTTTTTTTTTATTAATCTTCTGAATCGATCGATATAAGCTTGTTTGTCCACCGGTCTGCCTGATGTCTGTCCAAGTAATTTCGTGTTCAACATAAATATCGCAACTTCTAAGATATTTTGATGAAATTTAGCGCACTGACGTGTTCGAATCCAAGGACGAACGTTGTTGAAAATTGGTCGGTACACTTTTTCGACCATGGCTCACATAATATCTCATTTCAGAAACTAGTTATTTGAAAAACAAAAATTACAATTTTCCAAATATTTCGACAAAACTCACTGTGTAATAGTATTGATATGAAAAATTTGGCTTGGCGGTGCAATTTTTTTAACCCCCCTCGTACAACCGTTCCCTCGGAAACTAAATCTTGATATGGTAAAAAGGTATAATTTTCAATATTTCATGGTGAAAATTACTTCATAACAGTAAATTGACAAAAAAGTCAATTTTACCGAATTTGGACCATGTAGATCTGTTTTTTTTATACAATCGCATATAAAGATTCTAAAGAAATGTAAACCTTTACATGCTAAAATTGCCTAATTGTTAATATTTTATGATGAAAATTTGTTCATGATAGTAATTTGGCATAGACATGACATGGGCCAAATTTGAACTACACAGGTATATTTTTTATACTCCTCTCCTCGTAAGATATCTCATGAATAGTAATCCCTTCGGAGAAATAATTAGTTTTTAATATTCCATAAGGAAAATTGGTCCGTAGTAACAATTTAGCAAAAAAAATTAACGATAGGGAATTTGGATCAGGTGAGTCTATTTAGACCCTAACACATGCAGGGCTTAAACGAGCTCTTAGAAGTAAAGTAAGTTTGCTAAATTTGGACCACGTTATCTGATATTTTGGAAATCCTTCAATATGCGAGCACTGATGCCTTCGCATGAAAATAATGTGTGACTTTTGTTGTATTGTTACCAAAACGAGTGAATAATTATACTAAGCGTAGTGGTGTAGGCCACCTAATGGTCGGTCTTGTTCTACTGTAATGTTCGTACTTATTTTTGTTAAATTTGAATTGTCTATGGAATATGTACACCAGCTCTTATATGAGGGTCTTGGAATGGGGAAAAAGTTGTGCAACAAGTTTCATATAAACAAAATTATCTGCATATTGAAAGAGTTTTACGATATTTATGTTTTACGTTACATCCAATAGAAACTAATCCCATCAAACCATTCCAGACGGAACATCATTATTTTATTGAAACCTTTTTCTAAGTACATTTTTACTATTTGTATGGAAGAGGATGTTGTTACATCCTATCTTTAATTTTACGATTTAGCCGAGTTGTTACTTTCATGTTTCCATTGAGTTAACTGTGATTTTTATTTTTTTTTTTAAATCTTTCATTTTTATTTTATATCCAACAAAAATCATTAGAAAAGCATAATAACGGTTTCTTCTTTCTCTTTTGCCGACTGTTTATGCTACAAACAATTCTTAGGAGGAACTTTTCTATAACTCTAGCTATTCTTATAGCTGAGTAATTGGTTTAATTGCCTTCTTTTCATGTTTTAGTTTATAGCATATACGTTAACAAATATATGAATAATTAACGGATTATTATTTTAACAAAGTTATGAATAATGAATACTTTATTCGATTATTTTTCATATTCTGGGCCGATTAGTTTAATAATTAAAAGGAGTATTGAATACATCTTGATGTGGGATGTGGCTTGTGCTCCATAGGCAGGTCTAACTTAAAAATGAAAGTAACTCGATTTACTTTGAGATAGACAGAGAGTGAAATAATGAAAGAAAAAGAGAGTAAAGGAAATAAAAAGATAGGGGGAGAGAGAGAGAGAGAGAGATAGAACGTCAAAGGAGTACAGAGAGAGGGAAGCAAAGAGAGGCAGTTAAAAAAACGGTGATATAAGGAAAGAGATGAGGTAAAAAGTCGGATAAAAGGTGACAAACAGAGAGATGGAGATAAAGAAAGGGGTAAAGAGACAGGGAGAGATAAAGGGAGTAGCACGTATCTTGCGGCTCCGCAAGAAACATTAAAGCCCTATATAGTTTCGCTTTGCCTAACCTGTGCCTAGCTTCAGCAGTTACCCTAGCCATGTAATGTATTCGCGAGCTGACAGCTTGTACGAGTTATTTTTATGTAATACAGTTACTTGTTTACAACTTGAATTATAGGTGCTTCAGAAGGGAGCGAAAAAAATAAAAGCTTTTGAATGCGCACGTTTCAGGTCGGACCCTCTCTGAGGACTGACCTGTACATGATTCATTTAAATTTCTTCAAATACGTTTGGGTACGATTTTTCGATAAAATTGAATACTTAACGAATGTGGTGACCCTTTCAAAAAGTATTTCATTGAGAAATCCAATATGTTGTCTTTTTGATATTTATTAAACAACTTTTAAAAAAAGAAAAAACTCAATAGATTGTAGAGTTCTTCTAATTCCTCATTTTTTAAATTTCGTGTATTTAACTTCTTTTTTTTTATACGCGAGCTAACGCGAGTACGATGAGCTGCTGCCGTAAAAGAGTCGGCGTTCGAAAATTTACACCAAATTATAAAGCGAAGCCTATAACGGATAAATTTTATTCACGTCACGATAGTTTTCGTTCCAAAACTCGGGTAGTAAATCCGGAACGTTTTTTATACTTTCAGAAAGAAATTGAAAAAAGACAGAATTGGGATATACGCAAAGAGGCTATAGCTCCGATAACAAGTAATCAGACTTATGGTTGGTTTGAAATGTTGGCGGATCGTTACACCGGCCTAGATAAAGAAATCTTAGTGCATAAACATCCCCGCGATCCCATTATGGATATAATGAAAAAGGTCGCTTTCGATACCAGCCTTCAGAACAAATATACAAGAAAATTCTAATCTCGTTACAACGCATTACTGGTTTAAATAAAGATTTTCTTTTAAAAAAATCTTTTATATGAAATTTTGTTCCCCCTTTTTTTATTTTAATTTTATCCATTTATGTATGCTTATGTAGACATCGAAGTATTAAAATTCCCCTGAATAAGCAAATTCTTACATTTTTTATGTACTCATGTGCGCATGACGCGGGTCCATCTTAAAAATGATCAAACACGATAAAGCTAATATTTGATGAAACCGTTGTAAGTTCTCCTTCTCGCCTAATCTTTTGTCCTAAGTGTTTGTATTGTAAGCTCTAGAAATGGGTATGGATTGGTCATTAAGAGAGGGTTATCTTTGGTCGGAGGACAAAGAGCATTGGGAAGAACATAGCCGTATGCTTCTTCTTCTTATTTTAGAGTTTGGACATTGTCTACGTTTTTTACTTCGTCACCTTATAAAATTGGTTATACACAAAGAGGAAACACATATTTCATAACGAGTCTCGTTAGAGCGATTTTATGCTATGTTATGCTAAATAAAGCTTAAGATAACTTTTTTCAAGTTTCCGTTGCTTAGAGAAAGTTTTTAAATATAAACCCCTCAAAAACGGCAATGTTGTGAAGGGATGGTTTAAAAAATTATTTTATTATTGATAAGAATATATATATATATATATATATATATATATATTGATAAGAGTTAGGTTTTGAAAATTCTAAAAACGATTCCAAGTGCTTTACGAACGTTTTGTTTAAATAAACTAATTTTGTTAATATTGAATTACGCGCTCTATTATGATTAGTAATTTTCCATTTGTATTATTAATACAGCCACAGAAATAAGTTTTTAAAGCATTAGCATCTAAGGCTGTCGACTTCAGTGCAAATTCTACCGCACGTGAACCCACGGCCTTTGAGTTGCTAGTCGAAATTCTTTGTCAACTCAGCCACTCGGCATATAAAAGTAGTTTTCGATATATAAAAAGAGTAGCTTTACTTTTCCATTTAACTGGTAACACTGAGAAACTTTGCAAAATTTATATTCTTAATAAAAGGAGCCTGTGATGAACGATTTGTAAGCGAGTACCATGACCTGATTGTACGTTTGATTGTAGGTTGATCCGTACTGAACATCAGTGAGATCGGTTCACAAGCCTTATAAGGCTTAGATTTACAAGCTTATAGACAAACCGAACATAAACTAAAATCCAAACCTAAGCCTTCTTATGCGAAGTTCCTCCGCTTCCAATGTATTTGCTCTCCAGCAATGTATTTGCTCTCCAGGCTATCGAAATGTCACACTTGCGTTAATTGCACCTAATTATGGCAGTCAATAAAATTGAATAAAACATTCCATCGACTATTAAGTTTAACCTTTCGTTTTGCCTCTTTTTACTTGAAGCTATTTTAATAGCTGGGAATAAAAACACTTGGAACTAAATTCAGAAGGTTTATTAACTTGCCTTACTGACTCGAAAAGACTCTTACGGTATTTATGACCGACAACTTCGCTCTTCGGCCACGACAATCTTCACAACAGACATTACACAGATGGAGAGACACACATTCATCAGTTTCGGGGTCTGACGCTGATCAAGAATACACATCTTGTTAGAGTCTTTGAAGCTTCTTTCTGGGCGTTACAAACGTTTCGACAAAATATATAGCTCT